TAGTATATGGTTTTATACACACATCATATCCTCAGATTATGGCCCCTGCATTCTGCTATATAGACCCTCAGGGGGCTAAGGCCTACAGTTTGGGAACCACTGCAGTAGTGCAACCAGGGGCATGGTGATTTTTAGTATCTTTCCTGGGACCTCAGATGGCCTCTATATGTTTATACCAAAAAGTTTTGGGAGGCCCTCAAGGGTAGATCCCATGTTTTAGGAATTAAAAAAAAATGTGGGGGAGACAAAGGACAAGTTCCCATCTCTTGTTTTTAATTACATGAATAGCTTGTGGACACTGGCAGGTTGGGTTTCAAAGTTACATTTTAGGAATCAAAATGTTATGGGGGCAACTACTTGCCCTACCCCGAATATTAAGATATTAAGTAATAAATACAGTCATTTGCTGAAATATTTACCTTTATTTCTGTTCATCTCTTAGTTACCTCCCTATATTAAGATTAATATTAATTATCCACATTCATTTTTTTTTCCATGAAAAGGATTTGAAGCACAAGTTATTATTAATTTTTTTTTTAATGTACCAATATATAGAAATGACAGCTCCATTTTGAATCTTAGAATTCCTGATAAAACCAGAATAAAAGACATATTGTTGATACCTTAATACATAGTCACGTGGAAAAAGAATTATAAATGAATAGCTCAGAGTGAATTTTTGGCAAGGAACAAAATAAAAAGCCAATGTTATATGCCAGAATCATATAGTCAAGGTCTACCTCAGACATGATCATTGGAGTTTTTACCTTTGAAACCTCTGGCAGTGACAAATGCTGGCTGTATTGCACTTTGGACATCAGCTATATATAATGATTCTTTTGTGACTCACCCAGTGAATTTTGAATTAAATCACTTTGGTGTGAATGAAAATTACCAAAAAAAGAAAACAAGAAAATTTAGTTATAAGCTCATTACATATTGTGTCAAGACTTACGACTGATTGCCAACGAACTACAAACCTATGGAACAAAATCCCGGCTCATCCCACAATAATTTTGATAACAATAGGACATTGCCATTCAATTATTTTTATTTGAGAGTTATTTTGGTACACTAAATTTACAAAAAATGCTACCTCTTACATAATTACAGCAGGTCACTTCTCGTTTCCTTTTAAACTTCCAAATGTTTTTAAGGCAAAGAGATTGCTAGAAGTTATAAACATACTCTCACAAAAAATCCACAAGAAAAAAACTTTTTTTTTTTCTGAAATACTTTATAATGAAATATTTCTTGGATTGAGATTTGTTAAGTAGGTTGGTGGGAGCTGCATGCATTCCTCAAGTTCCATTACAAATACGACTGCATTAGTTTCCAAAATGTCCAAATCCTGGAATCCCAAGGGAAAAGAATGCTGATGTTGTAGTCCTGCTACATATTTGATTATAAGAACTTCAATTCCTAAAAATGGTGGAAACGTCATACTAACCATAATCATTTTTTCTTTCATTTGTGATTTTTCTAATGCACCAAAACTTATTTTTCTATATAATAAAAGATGGCCAAATAAAATACTTTCATCTTAGGAATCACATATTTATTGACAAGTTTCAGGGAGAAAAAGCATATGTGAAAGATGTACAAAAATATATACTACGAAATTCACATCATTCACATAGTTGACTTACAGTATGTGTAGAAAACGGATCCTTTTTTTTCTCATTATCTGAAAAGACCGTCTTTTTCTTTAAACATTGCATTTCAAAACTGCTACATTCAGACACTATAAACTTACATAATATAGATTATCTGATCACAACACAATTTCTAAATAAATGGTTGCTGCTCATCAACGTCTTTTTTCTGACATGCAATGCTGACTTTCTGCTCAAGCAAAATCCCATTGTCAAAGAAAACATAGAATAAAATAAAATAAAATATCCCATGATGTCTTCTATCATGAACTCATCATGATCGCTATTCTTAAACGAATGCGAAGTCTACTAACTACTGTACAGAATTCTGTATTCACTGCTTGAATAAATTTCATGAATTCCCACTCCATTATTTCTCTTAAAAAGTATGGCTTTCACAAGTCGATTGTCACCAAGATGTTCAGATGGGCGTCCTCACAGCAGGCACTGTAAGTGACGATCTGATATATTGCAAACCCTATTCTAATTTGCTGACAATATCTCAACAATCACATGATTAATTTCTCCAAAAACTAGAACTTTATAATGCCCCAAATTTAGGTATAAATGACTATTAGTGTTTCAGTTAAACACTCCAGTTTTTGGGATGGTAGTAAATAAATAAGACATAGTATTACCTTTGTCTATGATTCATAATAGCATTAAAACACATGGTAAACTCTGTCATGCATTAACCTGTCTACATGTTATTATTCACAGCTTATCAACACATCTATTAATCAACATCATACAAACATTAAAACAATAAATGCCATTGTAGACATTACAACTATGAATACACATATGCATATTCAAAATCATACACATATGCATATATTACTTTTAAATGAAGATGTACATACAAACATTATATATCTGTAAGTATACATGGACTGTAGTGTCTTTATAGCATGGGTGTATGTGATGGGGTACGATAACATGTGCATGTATGTATAAAAATGTGTGTTCCTTTTTTATGTTTGCACTTATTGAAAAAATCATCTATAGTTCCCTATATAAACCCTGGGAAAAAGTAACAGCTTACACAACAAACCTGAGATGACTGATTACTGGAAGTTATCCCTCAGAGGCACTTGCTTTATCTAGCTTGGGCATACAAGAAGAAGGAGCACTTTTAGCTAAGCCAGTAGAATAGAGGTAGCAGGCGCACTTGGTCGACCATGTCCAATACTGAGCTGCTGAGGTAGCTAACTGGCTGTTAACTACATCTATGGGCTGGAACTGCTTACTTTGACATACAGTATTCCTGCCTTTATGCTACTCTCGTAATCTCTGATAAACTGTGATTCAAAGGTGATCAAAAAGTCTCCCTTTAGCCCTCTCTTTATAAAGCAAACCCTTGATGCATCTTAAAAGATATAACTTGGTACAGTCTATCTCTTCTGGTCTTATAAATCTATTCCATTAACACAGATCTCAGACATGAAAATACATGGCTGCTATTAATTCTAGACAAAATAAGGTGCAACTTTGGGGGGCACCTCTACTCAACTATGGACTTGTATCCTGTTCATCAGCCTTAGATTCTACTTTTTTTTTCTCTCTCTCCTCAAAACAATTTCTACACTTGATACCATTTATATCTTTCAGTAATATCATTCACTTGTGTCAATGATACTTCACATCAGCAGCTAGCAGCAAGAGAAAAAAAAAAATCTTTCACGGTCTTTCCCACAACACCTAAGAGACCATATACATATTGCCATAATCACTTCCGCGCACAGATCCACCTATGACTTTAATTCACCCAAGAATTCACTGGAATTGTCTTGACTTCAATTATTCAATGACCAAAGTGCACAACTCAGGTCAGGGTACCCTCCCAGGCATCTGATCTCTGCTTGGCTGCTAGCTTCTTCTGGGCTGAAATTTGAAGAATTGCAAGATTAAAGTCTATACATGTTCAAAGAAAGTTCTAAAGTTAATATAAATAGGACTGGCCTACATTTTTATGGCCTAATTAATTTGATCTCATGTACATTTTCTAACTTTTCAAGACATGTAATTTCAAAAGTACGATAAAAAATTTAGAATCTAATTCTTTTGCTGTAAAACTGATTTACCCCATATCAATTTCTGAATATATTTTATACCCTTTGAATTTTTTTTTTCTCCCATTGTGATTTTTTATGTTGACATCATATATTATATTGATGACAGTAACCAATTCAGTTTATCTATCGTCAATGATACATATTGTAAATTCTAAGTGAAATATGCAACAGCATGGTTAAGATTCAAATAAAACTTTTGAAATATCTGCACTGCAAACTGACTTTTAAAATATTTCCCATGCCATGGAATGAGTAATGTTTGAAAAAATAATCATATATTGGAAACCAATATATAAAACTGACTAAAAGAGTTAACAAAGTTGCCTAGTATCTCTTTTCTACTTTGTTAACAGCTTAATTACATGGCAATAAAAAAGTTGAATCTGTGATTAACATAAAAAACATACATTTTTATCAAACAATCTAATAATAATAATAATAAATAAATAAATATACCATATATATTTACAAATATTTACACATACATAGAATTCTAATATGAGCCTATAACCTGAATCTGTTGTTCTCCTTACCTTTAGCATCCTTGAGTTTCTGCCGCTCTGCTTCCCTTACTTCATGAGGGACATTCACCTTCAACCCTAGGGCTCCTGATACCAGTCTACGTGCCAGGGCTGCTGATGTTGCTGGCCGAGGTTTGTAGGGCAAAAGGGCCTCTGTGATGCGCATAGCCTTTGACCGAGAGGTTTCCGTGGCTAAAGACAAGGAGCGGGCTTTCAGGAATGGGTGGTCAATACTCAGGGCTTCCTTGGCTGTGGAAAAAAGTTTCAATGATTTACAATATATTAGAATAAAATAAAAAGAAAACTGATAATTCTAATATCAATATTACACTAAAAATTACTCATATTTCCACTTTTTATAATAGTTTAGATGTCTTATAGTCTATGTTATTGTGCATCTACAGCTCACTAATGAAAGACAAAAAGCAAAGACATACTCACCAATGAGAGCTGTGGCAAAGATCCCCAGGGCATGGGTGTCATCTACCCACTTGATGTCAAAGCCATTGTTCTGGTAGGGGCTGAAGATCATCATGAGATCCTGTGTCTTGAAGGAAACTGGGAAGTCATAGATCTCAATGACATGGGCATACTCATCCTCATTAATCTGGGGCTCCTTGGGCTGGTAGTCATAGTAGTCATTTGTAGGCTTGACCAGTTTCACTTTACCAATGGAATCACTGAGCTGGCGCTTGATCTCAGGATCAAGACACTCACCACTGTCATCATACAGGGTGTCCCATGAGTCTTCCACTTCATCTGCCCAGTTGAAGGAGAATTTCTTCAGATTCTTCTTCTCTTCCTTCTCCTGTTCACTGGCTTCTTCCTTTGCTTCTGCCTGGATGCCATTCTGGGTGTCATTTTCCATGGCCACTGCTTCCCTAGCTAAAGCTTCTGGTGGGTCTTCTGCCTCATCACCAAGGTCAAAGTATACCTTCCCTGAGGATCCAGCTGCTGTGCTTGAGAGTTCATCAGACACTGCATTTGACTGATTGTCCACTATATGCAAAGGCTGGCCATTACTGGAATCAGTTTCTGCTGGATCAGATGGCAGTGTGGTTTGGTTGGCCTCTATAACTTCCCCATTACTAGAGGTATCACATGCTGAACCCTGACTAATATCTTCACACACATGCATCTCCTCTACTCTGTTCATTTGGGTATTCTGCTCAGAGCTGTAGGAACTGTCAAATGAGGGGTTCTCCTTAATGTTTTCTAATCTATGTTCAGCACTTCCTCCATTGAGTAAGGATGGTCCCTGATCAACCGTTTCCATACTACTATAACTTGGTTCATCATGGTAACTTTGATCTAATCTGTGGGAATTAGGAACACCTGATATTCTTGAGTTATCAATACTGTTTGCTCGATGACTTCCCATCAAGGGGTTTCGATTATGTTTAACTGGCAGTGTATGATATCTATAATTCTCCTCATTGCTTGGGTTTGGGCTTCTTGTGTTCTCACTGTAGTCAAGAGTGACATTGGGCAGTGAGCCTAACCTTCCAGAAGGTGGCTTACCTGGTGAGTTTCTATTTTGGTAACCTTTGGCAGGACTTGAGGGGCTGGAGGCACCTCTCCAATTGGTGTGGTAAGAAGCATGTTGAGGAGTTCTCTCACGGCTAGAATTTCTACTGCTAGCACGACTATTGTTAATACTACTGTATCGATCATAATTATCGTACCCTCTGTCATACCGCTCACCAGGAGAGTTGAAGTTGCTGTTGTAAAAGACTCGTTCACAGCTACCAAAGCCTCTCTCACTGTGGGGGCTGTTGTAAGGATCACCATTCTTTGAGTTACAACCTGGTGAGCCTCTGGAGTCGTTATACTTTTCAGCACTAGGCTCTCTGCTGCGGGAATTTCGCCGCCGATTCCTTCGCCCTTTTCTTGTGCGAGAATTTGGCTCTACTGGGTGAATAACATTCTCTTTACTGTGAACACTGTGAATATCTCTAGTTGGGGTAGGACTCTTCTGATTCCTTCCCCGGCCTCCCCTGTTGTTTTTGGCGGGTGAGCTGTGCACTGAGTCACTGTCCCAGTTGCGGTTGTCACTTAGTCTGGGCTCAGAGTCCTGGTTCAAACACCTCTCAATGAGTTGTAGAGTCTGACTGTTGAACCTATTTCCACCCTTCTGCCTTCCATTTCCTGGGGTTGACTCTCTGCTGAATTCTCCCTTTGACAAAGGAGGCTTAGATTTAATTCTGTCAAAATCTCCATCGTAGATGGAAAGCTGACTGCCATGGCGGCTGTCATGTTTGCTATACCGATTCCTGCCACTGTACTCTGACACAACAGAACAAATGGAAAAGGTGGGTGAGGGTGCTCTCTGAGATTGTTCATAATCCTGCATTGGGGTAGGTGTTCCACGCACGGATCCTGAATCTATATTGCGCCTCCCCCTTGGAACGTAAAGCATCTGGTCTGGACGACGCCCCCTCCCTGCCTTCCCACTCTGGTGGTCTCCCATCACGTAACTGCTCTCACTGTCAGTTCTCTGCCTGTTGGAAAGTGGGTACTGGTGCTGTGGATACTGATTATTCTGTGGACTGTGCTGTGTATGTTGGTAGTACTGATTGTGCTGCTGCTGCTGCTTAGGCTGATAAAGTTGCTGTTGCTGTTGCTGCACAGGTCCAGCATCCAACCTTGTGCTGCGGGCTGGAGGGGGCCTGTAGATCTGTGCACATGCCTTGCCTGAAAAAGATGAGACATCACTTACATGGAGAAACAAGAATCTTAATGCTAAAGTACCACAATAATATTATAATGAGTGCTAGTATATCTGACTAGTAACAATGAGCTTTTAAGCAATGAAAGAATCCAGTTCGTATCATTAATAATGATAATAACAATAATAATTATAATAATAATAATAATAATAATAATAATAATAATAATAATAATAATAACAATAATAATATCAATAACAATTACTATTATTAAGATAATAATAATAATAATAATAATAATAATAATAATAATAATAATAATAATAATAATAATAATAATAATAATAATAATAATAATAATAATAAACAATATCAATAATGATACTAGAACAAAAGCATGGCCTACGAAGGCCTACCTCTCGGCCGACTGTTGCTGCCACTGTAGTCGTCACTGGTCATGGTGACTGGCATTCTGTGGTGGTCGTGGGCGGCGTTGCTGGACGCGGCTTTCCCGCTGGCTGACGGCGCTTCTGCCGACCTGCTCTGCGCTAGGATTTCCCGGCGGGAGTTTAGGAAGAGTCTGGAAATGAAACGGAGAAAAGGAATGAATTGAAGGTAATACACGTTATGGAATTCTGTGTTCTTTTATGAAAAAAGTGCAAGATGCGAGAGAGAGAGAGAGAGAGAGAGAGAGAGAGAGAGAGAGAGAGAGAGAGAGAGAGAGAGAGAGAGAGAGAGAGAGAGAGAGAGAGAGAGAGAGAGTGAGAGAGAGAGAGAGAGAGAGAGAGAGAGAGAGAGAGAGAGAGGAGAGAGAGAGAGAGAGAGAGAGAGAGAGAGAGAGAGAGAGAGAGAGATGTATATGTATATGTATATGTATATGTATATGTATATGTATATGTATATATGTATATGTATATGTATATACATATACATTATAACATATACATAATACATAATATTATACATATACATATACATATACATATACATATCATATACATATACATTTATACATAATACATACATATATGTGTGTGTGTGTGTGTGTGTTGTGTGTGTGTGTGTGTGTGTGTGTGTGTGGTGTGTGTGTGTGTGTGTGTGTGTGTGTGTGTGTGTGTGTGTGTGTGTGTAAATATAAATATATATAATGTAAATAAAATATATATTTATAAGTATAAATGTATTGATACATATACAAATGTATAAATGTGTATATATATATCTAAATATATATTATATACATATATATATTCACATTTATCTCTCACTCACTCACCCACTCACTACACATACACACACACACACACACACACACACACACACACACACACACACACACACACACACACACACACACACACACACACACACACACACACACACACAACACACACACACATTTTATATATATATATATATATTATATATATATATATATCATATATTTTAATATTATATATATATATATATATATAATATATATTAATATATATATATATATATATATTAGTTTTTAGTCTGTATAGATGCTTATTTATCTACTTTCGTCAGTAACATATCGTACATATTCACAATCTTGTCATTTCCTGTCCCTCTCCACCTCCCTTACCTCTCCATTTCTTCACTCTTCTCCTCTCCCTCCTCTCCACTCCTCTCCTCTCCTCTCGTATGTCTCCCTCCCCTCCCTTCCCTATCCCCCCTCTCTCCTCTCGATACATTCCTTCCCCTCCTCTCTCTTCCTCCTCCCTCTCCCTCCCCACCGTCGCCGTCCCCCTCCTCCTCTTCCTCCTCCTCCGCCTCGACCTCTAGACAAGACGCGAGTCAGTGAGGCATAAACCACGCGTGAAGGTCTGTGGTTTTTGAGGGTCGTGCGCACTCGAGCTGCCAATGGGCCTGGAGGCTGGCGTGAGGGGGGGGCTGGATTGGATGGGTAAGAGGATGAGTTTGAGGGTAGGGGGGTAGGGGGAGAGGCAAATGAAATGAAGTGAATCTCGAGAGAAGGATAAGAAAGCTAGTATTCCCTTTTTTGACTTAAGGAGGGGTGAGGGCTCTTCGTGAATCACAGAAATATGGAGGGAGGGAGGGAGGAGATGAAGGATGAAGGAGGGAGAGGAGGGGAGGAATGGGATAGGATAGGATAGGATGGGATGGGATGGGATGGGATGGGATGAGATGGGATGGGATGGGATGGGATGAGAAGGGAAGGAATGGAATGAGAAGCGCAGGAGAGCGGAGGAAGAGGAAGTAGACAAGAGGAAAGAAAAGTGAAGGGAAAGGGAGACAAGGGAGGGGAAAAAAGAAAGAAAGAGAATGGAGGAGAAGAAATCGGATGAAACGAAAGGAAGAGCAGAAAGACAGGGGGCAGGGGAGCGAAGGGACAAAAAGAGGAAAACGAAGGGGGGAGGCGGAGGGCTAAATCCAGCCCGCTTGGCCAGCCCCAAAGCATCTCCTAAGGCTGGAACGCGAGTCGGTCTGCCTTGCATGGCTTCGTAGACCTAGGCGCTCGACGCGCGCGCGCATCCGAACCAAAGCACGAAGAAGGCATAATCCCCACTCCCCTCCGCCCACGCCCACGCACAGCCAACCACATGCTTCTACGTAAACACGCACGCACGCACGCACGCATCTACCCACGCACACTAACGGACAGTATGGTGATGGTGGCGGCAAAAGTAGAAGTAGTAGAAGCAGCAGCAGAGATAACTATTGTCGATGATTATGATGATGATGTGATGATGGTGATGATGATAATGATGATGGTGATTGTGATGATGATAATGATTGTTGTGATGATGGTGATATTGATGATTGTGATGATGGTAACGATGATTGCAATGATGATGATGATTGTGATGATGGTGACGATGACTGTGATGATTGTGTGGATGATGATGGTGATACTGATTAGACTGTAATGATTACTGATGATAACTATACTACTACTACTACTACTACTACTACTACTACTAATAATAATAATAATAATAATAATAATAATAATAATAATATAATATAATATAATAATAATAATGATCGTAATAATAATAATAATAAAACCATGGGCCAGACCCTTTTCCGAC